GTTGTGTGTCTCAGGTGTTCAGGGATGAGGAGTACCTGTGTGACGCTGTAATCTGTGTGTTGTGTGTCTCAGGTGTTCAGAGATGAGAAGTACCTGCGTGACGCTGTAATCTGTGTGTTGTGTGTCTCAGGTGTTCAGGGATGAGAAGTACCTGTGTGACGCTGTAATCTATGTGTTGTGTGTCTCAGGTGTTCAGGGATGAGAAGTACCTGCGTGACGCTGTAATCTGTGTGTTGTGTGTCTCAGGTGTTCAGGGATGAGAAGTACCTGTGTGACGCTGTAATCTGTGTGTTGTGTGTCTCAGGTGTTCAGGGATGAGAAGTACCTGTGTGACGCTGTAATCTGTGTGTTGTGTGTCTCAGGTGTTCAGAGATGAGAAGTACCTGCGTGACGCTGTACTCTGTGTGTTGTGTGTCTCAGGTGTTCAGGGATGAGAAGTACCTGTGTGACGCTGTAATCTGTGTGTTGTGTGTCTCAGGTGTTCATGGATGAGAAGTACCTGTGTGACGCTGTAATCTGTGTGTTGTGTGTCTCAGGTGTTCAGAGATGAGAAGTACCTGCGTGACGCTGTAATCTGTGTGTTGTGTGTCTCAGGTGTTCAGGGATGAGGAGTACCTGTGTGACGCTGTAATCTGTGTGTTGTGTGTCTCAGGTGTTCAGAGATGAGGAGTACCTGTGTGACGCTGTAATCTGTGTGTTGTGTGTCTCAGGTGTTCAGGGATGAGAAGTACCTGTGTGACGCTGTAATCTGTGTGTTGTGTGTCTCAGGTGTTCATGGATGAGAAGTACCTGTGTGACGCTGTAATCTGTGTGTTGTGTGTCTCAGGTGTTCAGGGATGAGAAGTACCTGTGTGACGCTGTAATCTGTGTGTTGTGTGTCTCAGGTGTTCAGGGATGAGGAGTACCTGTGTGACGCTGTAATCTGTGTGTTGTGTGTCTCAGGTGTTCATGGATGAGAAGTACCTGTGTGACGCTGTAATCTGTGTGTTGTGTGTCTCAGGTGTTCAGGGATGAGAAGTACCTGTGTGACGCTGTAATCTGTGTGTTGTGTGTCTCAGGTGTTCAGAGATGAGGAGTACCTGTGTGACGCTGTAATCTGTGTGTTGTGTGTCTCAGGTGTTCAGAGATGAGAAGTACCTGCGTGACGCTGTAATCTGTGTGTTGTGTGTCTCAGGTGTTCAGAGATGAGGAGTACCTGTGTGACGCTGTAATCTGTGTGTTGTGTGTCTCAGGTGTTCAGAGATGAGAAGTACCTGTGTGACGCTGTAATCTGTGTGTTGTGTGTCTCAGGTGTTCAGAGATGAGAAGTACCTGTGTGACGCTGTACTCTGTGTGTTGTGTGTCTCAGGTGTTCAGAGATGAGAAGTACCTGTGTGACGCTGTAATCTGTGTGTTGTGTGTCTCAGGTGTTCATGGATGAGAAGTACCTGCGTGACGCTGTAATCTGTGTGTTGTGTGTCTCAGGTGTTCAGGGATGAGAAGTACCTGTGTGACGCTGTGATCTGTGTGTTGTGTGTCTCAGGTGTTCAGAGATGAGAAGTACCTGTGTGACGCTGTAATCTGTGTGTTGTGTCTCTCAGGTGTTCATGGATGAGAAGTACCTGTGTGACGCTGTAATCTGTGTGTTGTGTGTCTCAGGTGTTCAGGGATGAGGAGTACCTGCGTGACACTGTACTCTGTGTGTTGTGTGTCTCAGGTGTTCAGGGATGAGAAGTACCTGTGTGACGCTTTAATCTGTGTGTTGTGTGTCTCAGGTGTTCAGAGATGAGGAGTACCTGTGTGACGCTGTAATCTGTGTGTTGTGTGTCTCAGGTGTTCAGGGATGAGAACTAACTGTGACGCTGTAATCTGTGTGTTGTGTGTCTCAGGTGTTCAGAGATGAGGAGTACCTGTGTGACGCTGTAATCTGTGTGTTGTGTGTCTCAGGTGTTCAGAGATGAGGAGTACCTGTGTGACGCTGTAATCTGTGTGTTGTGTGTCTCAGGTGTTCAGAGATGAGAAGTACCTGTGTGACGCTGTAATCTGTGTGTTGTGTGTCTCAGGTGTTCAGGGATGAGAAGTACCTGTGTGACGCTGTAATCTGTGTGCTGTGTGTCTCAGGTGTTCATGGATGAGAAGTACCTGTGTGACGCTGTAATCTGTGTGTTGTGTGTCTCAGGTGTTCATGGATGAGAAGTACCTGTGTGTCGCTGTAATCTGTGTGTTGTGTCTCTCAGGTGTTCATGGATGAGAAGTACCTGCGTGACGCTGTACTCTGTGTGTTGTGTGTCTCAGGTGTTCAGAGATGAGGAGTACCTGTGTGACGCTGTAATCTGTGTGTTGTGTGTCTCAGGTGTTCAGAGATGAGAAGTACCTGCGTGACGCTGTAATCTGTGTGTTGTGTGTCTCAGGTGTTCAGGGATGAGGAGTACCTGTGTGACGCTGTAATCTGTGTGTTGTGTGTCTCAGGTGTTCAGAGATGAGAAGTACCTGTGTGACGCTGTAATCTGTGTGTTGTGTGTCTCAGGTGTTCAGGGATGAGGAGTACCTGTGTGACGCTGTAATCTGTGTGTTGTGTGTCTCAGGTGTTCAGGGATGAGAAGTACCTGCGTGACGCTGTAATCTGTGTGTTGTGTGTCTCAGGTGTTCAGGGATGAGGAGTACCTGTGTGACGCTGTAATCTGTGTGTTGTGTGTCTCAGGTGTTCAGGGATGAGAAGTACCTGCGTGACGCTGTAATCTGTGTGTTGTGTGTCTCAGGTGTTCAGAGATGAGAAGTACCTGTGTGACGCTGTAATCTGTGTGTTGTGTGTCTCAGGTGTTCAGGGATGAGAAGTACCTGTGTGACGCTGTAATCTGTGTGTTGTGTGTCTCAGGTGTTCAGGGATGAGAAGTACCTGCGTGACGCTGTAATCTGTGTGTTGTGTGTCTCAGGTGTTCAGAGATGAGGAGTACCTGTGTGACGCTGTAATCTGTGTGTTGTGTGTCTCAGGTGTTCAGAGATGAGAAGTACCTGTGTGACGCTGTAATCTGTGTGTTGTGTGTCTCAGGTGTTCAGGGATGAGAAGTACCTGTGTGACGCTGTAATCTGTGTGCTGTGTGTCTCAGGTGTTCATGGATGAGAAGTACCTGTGTGACGTTGTAATCTGTGTGTTGTGTGTCTCAGGTGTTCAGAGATGAGAAGTACCTGTGTGACGCTGTAATCTGTGTGTTGTGTGTCTCAGGTGTTCAGGGATGAGAAGTACCTGTGTGACGCTGTAATCTGTGTGTTGTGTGTCTCAGGTGTTCAGGGATGAGGAGTACCTGTGTGACGCTGTAATCTGTGTGTTGTGTGTCTCAGGTGTTCAGGGATGAGAAGTACCTGTGTGACGCTGTAATCTGTGTGTTGTGTGTCTCAGGTGTTCAGGGATGAGAAGTACCTGCGTGACGCTGTAATCTGTGTGTTGTGTGTCTCAGGTGTTCAGGGATGAGAAGTACCTGTGTGACGCTGTAATCTGTGTGTTGTTTGTCTCAGGTGTTCATGGATGAGAAGTACCTGTGTGACGCTGTAATCTGTGTGTTGTGTGTCTCAGGTGTTCAGAGATGAGGAGTACCTGTGTGATGCTGTAATCTGTGTGTTGTGTGTCTCAGGTGTTCAGAGATGAGAAGTACCTGCGTGACGCTGTAATCTGTGTGTTGTGTGTCTCAGGTGTTCAGGGATGAGAAGTACCTGCGTGACGCTGTAATCTGTGTGTTGTGTGTCTCAGGTGTTCATGGATGAGAAGTACCTGTGTGACGCTGTAATCTGTGTGTTGTGTGTCTCAGGTGTTCAGAGATGAGAAGTACCTGTGTGACGCTGTAATCTGTGTGTTGTGTGTCTCAGGTGTTCAGGGATGAGAAGTACCTGTGTGACGCTGTAATCTGTGTGTTGTGTGTCTCAGGTGTTCATGGATGAGAAGTACCTGTGTGACGCTGTAATCTGTGTGTTGTGTGTCTCAGGTGTTCAGAGATGAGGAGTACCTGTGTGATGCTGTAATCTGTGTGTTGTGTGTCTCAGGTGTTCAGGGATGAGAAGTACCTGCGTGACGCTGTACTCTGTGTGTTGTGTGTCTCAGGTGTTCAGGGATGAGGAGTACCTGTGTGACGCTGTAATCTGTGTGTTGTGTGTCTCAGGTGTTCAGGGATGAGGAGTACCTGTGTGACGCTGTAATCTGTGTGTTGTGTGTCTCAGGTGTTCAGAGATGAGGAGTACCTGTGTGACGCTGTAATCTGTGTGTTGTGTGTCTCAGGTGTTCAGAGATGAGAAGTACCTGTGTGACGCTGTAATCTGTGTGTTGTGTGTCTCAGGTGTTCAGGGATGAGGAGTACCTGTGTGACGCTGTAATCTGTGTGTTGTGTGTCTCAGGTGTTCAGAGATGAGGAGTACCTGTGTGACGCTGTAATCTGTGTGTTGTGTGTCTCAGGTGTTCAGGGATGAGAAGTACCTGTGTGACGCTGTAATCTGTGTGTTGTGTGTCTCAGGTGTTCAGAGATGAGAAGTACCTGTGTGACGCTGTAATCTGTGTGTTGTGTGTCTCAGGTGTTCATGGATGAGAAGTACCTGCGTGACGCTGTAATCTGTGTGTTGTGTGTCTCAGGTGTTCATGGATGAGAAGTACCTGTGTGACGCTGTAATCTGTGTGTTGTGTGTCTCAGGTGTTCATGGATGAGAAGTACCTGCGTGACGCTGTAATCTGTGTGTTGTGTGTCTCAGGTGTTCAGAGATGAGAAGTACCTGTGTGACGCTGTAATCTGTGTGTTGTGTGTCTCAGGTGTTCATGGATGAGAAGTACCTGCGTGACGCTGTAATCTGTGTGTTGTGTGTCTCAGGTGTTCAGGGATGAGGAGTACCTGCGTGACGCTGTAATCTGTGTGTTGTGTGTCTCAGGTGTTCAGGGATGAGGAGTACCTGTGTGACGCTGTAATCTGTGTGTTGTGTGTCTCAGGTGTTCAGGGATGAGGAGTACCTGTGTGACGCTGTAATCTGTGTGTTGTGTGTCTCAGGTGTTCAGGGATGAGAAGTACCTGCGTGACGCAGTGGAGTGTGGAGAGCTGATCTGGCAGAAAGGTCTGCTGAGGAAAGGTTACGGGATCTGTCACGGCACCGCAGGCAACGGATACGCCTTCCTCTCCCTCTACCAGCTCACACACGACAAGAAGTACCTGTATCGGGCCTGCAAGGTAGAGAGTGTGTGTGCGTGTGTGTGTGTGTGTGTGCGTGTGTGTGTGTGTGTGTGTGTGACGGTACAGATTCACCCTGCACCCAGGACAGTGAAGCTGCACACAGTCGCTTCATCACTATATCTCAGCGCACACACTGCTCTCAGCCAATCAGGCGTTAGCATCTCAATACACCAGTCACATGACCACTCTAGATATACAGGTCTATCTGTTTATATATGGCGTTTTTAACTATTTTCAGCTTTTTTTATACTATATATCACATTCTGAGATATTTTAATCACACTGATGATCAATTCCTTATGAAATCGTTTTTTTTGTGTAATATGAAAAAAGCAGTCAATAAAATAGTATTCCAGAAAAACTTAAAAAGAAAGAATCGTTACGATCAGGTGACATGAATTCTTCACTAATATTTTTTTTTTAAACGGTAATATTACATTTGAAATGATGATAAGATTTATATATTAATTTTGGTGGAAATTAATAATTTTTTCTGCTAGGACTCTGATTCTGACGGACAGCTGCAGGTTTATTAGGCGCCGTCACTTTAAGAGCGGACGCACACGACGCGGATCTGACACACACCTCCTCACAACTCTATGCTAATTCATAAGTTCAAGACTTCGTTTAACTCGTTTAAGACTGTTCTTGCGAGGATACTTGACAAAACGGGCATTTTGGCATAGTTGTGTTTAATAAATGTTTTTGTCCATTCAAGCACTGTCTGACATGTGTGTGTGTGTGTGTGTGTGTTTCTGTCTAGTTTGCTGAGTGGTGTCTAGACTACGGGAAGCACGGCTGCCGCATCCCTGACCGGCCATACTCCCTGTTTGAAGGTAAATTAATAATCACGTCGTCTCAATATTCTCCCAGAGCTCCTGAACTCCTGCATGTGAGCTTCAGTCCTGTCGTCAGTCCTGAGATCAGTGGTGTCCCTCTGTGCTGAAGCTGGCGCTCTGACGTCAGACCTGAGATCAGACCTGAGATCAGTGGTGTCCCTCTGTGCTGAAGCTGACGCTCTGACATCAGACCTGAGATCAGACCTGAGATCAGTGGTGTCCCTCTGTGCTGAAGCTGACGCTCTGACATCAGACCTGAGATCAGACCTGAGATCAGTGGTGTCCCTCTGTGCTGAAGCTGACGCTCTGACATCAGACCTGAGATCAGACCTGAGATCAGTGGTGTCCCTCTGTGCTGAAGCTGACGCTCTGACATCAGACCTGAGATCAGTGGTGTCCCTCTGTGCTGAAGCTTACGCTCTGACGTCAGACCTGAGATCAGACCTGAGATCAGTGGTGTCCCTCTGTGCTGAAGCTGACGCTCTTATGTCGGGACCTGAGATCAGACCTGAGATCAGTGGTGTCCCTCTGTGCTGGAGCTGACGCTCTGACGTCAGACCTGAGATCAGACCTGAGATCAGTGGTGTCCCTCTGTGCTGAAGCTGACGCTCTGACGTCAGACCTGAGATCAGACCTAAGATCAGTGGTGTCCGTCTGTGCTGAAGCTGACGCTCTGACGTCAGACCTGAGATCAGACCTAAGATCAGTGGTGTCCGTCTGTGCTGAAGCTGACGATCTGACGTCAGACCTGAGATCAGACCTAAGATCAGTGGTGTCCGTCTGTGCTGAAGCTGACGCTCTGACGTCAGACCTGAGATCAGACCTGAGATCAGTGGTGTCCCTCTGTGCTGAAGCTGACGCTCTGACGTCAGACCTGAGATCAGACCTAAGATCAGTGGTGTCCGTCTGTGCTGAAGCTGACGATCTGACATCAGACCTGAGATCAGTGGTGTCCCTCTGTGCTGAAGCTGACGCTCTGACATCAGACCTGAGATCAGTGGTGTCCCTCTATGCTGAAGCTGACGCTCTGACGTCAGACCTGAGATCAGACCTGAGATCAGTGGTGTCCCTCTGTGCTGAAGCTGACGCTCTGACGTCAGACCTGAGATCAGACCTGAGATCAGTGGTGTCCCTCTGTGCTGAAGCTGACGCTCTGACGTCAGACCTGAGATCAGTGGTGTCCCTCTGTGCTAAAGCTGACGCTGTGACGTCAGACCTTAGATCAGACCTGAGATCAGTGGTGTCCCTCTGTGCTGAAGCTGACGCTGTGACGTCAGACCTGAGATCAGACCTAAGATCAGTGGTGTCCGTCTGTGCTGAAGCTGACGCTGTGACGTCAGACCTGAGATCAGACCTGAGATCAGGGGTGTCCCTCTGTGCTGAAGCTGACGCTCTGACGTCAGACCTGAGATCAGACCTGAGATCAGTGGTGTCCCTCTGTGCTGAAGCTGACGCTCTGATGTCAGACCTGAGATCAGTGGTGTCCCTCTGTGCTAAAGCTGACGCTCTGATGTCAGACCTGAGATCAGTGGTGTCCCTCTGTGCTGAAGCTGACGCTCTGATGTCAGACCTGAGATCAGTGGTGTCCATCTGTGCTGAAGCTGACGCTCTGATGTCAGACCTGAGATCAGACCTGAGATCAGTGGTGTCCGTCTGTGCTGAAGCTGACGCTCTGATGTCAGACCTGAGATCAGTGGTGTCCCTCTGTGCTGAAGCTGACGCTCTGATGTCAGACCTGAGATCAGACCTGAGATCAGTGGTGTCCCTCTGTGCTGAAGCTGACGCTCTGATGTCAGACCTGAGATCAGACCTGAGATCAGTGGTGTCCCTCTGTGCTGAAGCTGACGCTCTGATGTCAGACCTGAGATCAGTGGTGTCCCTCTGTGCTGAAGCTGACGCTCTGACGTCAGACCTGAGATCAGACCTGAGATCAGTGGTGTCTCTCTGTGCTGAAGCTGACGCTCTGATGTCAGACCTGAGATCAGACCTGAGATCAGTGGTGTCCGTCTGTGCTGAAGCTGACGCTGTGACGTCAGACCTGAGATCAGTGGTGTCCCTCTGTGCTGAAGCTGACGCTGTGACGTCAGACCTGAGATCAGACCTGAGATCAGTGGTGTCCCTCTGTGCTGAAGCTGACGCTCTGATGTCAGACCTGAGATCAGTGGTGTCCCTCTGTGCTAAAGCTGACGCTCTGATGTCAGACCTGAGATCAGTGGTGTCCCTCTGTGCTGAAGCTGACGCTCTGATGTCAGACCTGAGATCAGTGGTGTCCGTCTGTGCTGAAGCTGACGCTCTGATGTCAGACCTGAGATCAGTGGTGTCCCTCTGTGCTGAAGCTGACGCTCTGATGTCAGACCTGAGATCAGACCTGAGATCAGTGGTGTCCCTCTGTGCTGAAGCTGACGCTCTGACATCAGACCTGAGATCAGACCTGAGATCAGTGGTGTCCCTCTGTGCTGAAGCTGACGCTGTGACGTCAGACCTGAGATCAGACCTGAGATCAGTGGTGTCCCTCTGTGCTGAAGCTGACGCTCTGATGTCAGACCTGAGATCAGTGGTGTCCCTCTGTGCTAAAGCTGACGCTCTGATGTCAGACCTGAGATCAGTGGTGTCCCTCTGTGCTGAAGCTGACGCTCTGATGTCAGACCTGAGATCAGTGGTGTCCGTCTGTGCTGAAGCTGACGCTCTGATGTCAGACCTGAGATCAGTGGTGTCCCTCTGTGCTGAAGCTGACGCTCTGATGTCAGACCTGAGATCAGACCTGAGATCAGTGGTGTCCCTCTGTGCTGAAGCTGACGCTCTGATGTCAGACCTGAGATCAGTGGTGTCCCTCTGTGCTGAAGCTGACGCTCTGACGTCAGACCTGAGATCAGACCTGAGATCAGTGGTGTCTCTCTGTGCTGAAGCTGACGCTCTGATGTCAGACCTGAGATCAGACCTGAGATCAGTGGTGTCCGTCTGTGCTGAAGCTGACGCTGTGACGTCAGACCTGAGATCAGTGGTGTCCCTCTGTGCTGAAGCTGACGCTGTGACGTCAGACCTGAGATCAGACCTGAGATCAGTGGTGTCCCTCTGTGCTGAAGCTGACGCTCTAGCGGTGTGTGTCCGTTATAAAGCTGTTCCCATCTCTAGCGCATTATTACAGTTTATATTGGATAATTATATAGTCTTCATATACATACCGTTCAAAAGTTTGAGTTTTTTGTTTCTTCTGCTCACCGAAGCTGCGTTTATTTGATCAAAAATACAGTAAAACAGTGTAATATTACTCAGTGTAAATCAGCTGTTTTCTATGTGAATATACAGTAAAGTGTAATTTATTCCTGTGATCAAAGCTGAATTTTCAGCATCATTACTCCAGTCTTCAGTGTCACATGATCCTTCAGAAATCACTCTAATATGAGGATCTGATGCTCAAGAAATATTTATGATTATTATCAGTGTTGAAAACAGTCGTGCTGCTTCATATTTCTGTGGAAACCGTCATACATTTTAATCTTCAGAATTCTTTGATGAATTGAAAGTTCAAAAGAACAGCATTTATTTGAAATGGAATCTTTTGTAACATTATAAATGTTTTTACTGTCACTTTTGATCAATTTAATGCATCCTTGATGAATAAAAGTATTAATTTCTTTTTAAAAAAAATCTTTGTGGCCCCAAACTTTTGGAACTGTTGTTTATTTCAGCCATTTTTAAAAACATTAATTACTCGCTGTTTCCTGATCCTGCGTCACGTCTCTCTTCATCAGTTCTCTAGTACACATTGAGCTCCTGGGCTTCAGCTCTAGGTTCTAATCCCGCTCGCAACATGTCCTGATTCCTCTCTCTCCTCGTATCTCTCGTCTGCTGTTCATCCTGAATAAAAGAGGCAAACGACCATAAAATATCAGAGAGCCCATTCAGCCCAAATCCCCTTGTTCCCAGTGTGCTGGTGCTGGAGAAGCTCGGCGTCGCCGTCTACAGTCCTCGTCCGCTTCACCGCGGTCGGCATGGCAACACTTCCCGCGCTCAAGGCTCATTAAAAGCCACACTCTGATTGGTCCCTCAGCCTCACTACACACACACACACACACACACACAGAGACACTGTCTCTCAGCCTCACTACACACACACACACACACACACTGCATATTAATGAGAAAAAATTTATTAGTCTGTATTTATAATTCTAGTCTAATTCAATTAGGCATTTGGACTTAAAGTCACCATTAAACCAAAATGGATAAATCTTTATTTTTCATGGAATATTGCAGTGTTTATTGTAAATGATTTATGGGTGCACATCATCTTTATTGTGTTAATAATGTTGAATGAGAATCAGTTCCTCTTGCAGCATCTCTTCTCTTTTCTGATGATGTGGGCGGGGCTATAACCTGTCACTCACATGAGATCAGCCAATAGCAAACCACAACCATCCAATCAGGTCCCCACAGACACAATCAAGCCCCGCCCACATGTGTTCTTGTTTCACTCGATATACGACACTATAGAGGAGAGCAGACCAGCGCTGCTTCTGTTTTAATGACGACTGTAAGCACGTGAGATCGCATGATCTGATGATGTTATGAATATCTCTCCTGACCGGTGGTTGTGTGTGCAGGAATGGCAGGAGCCGTCCACTATCTCTCCGACGTCCTCCAGCCCGAGGGATCCAGCTTCCCTGCTTTTGAACTTTGACCTGTGTGTGTGGACTCATAGACTTCTGCTCCTGTATGAGGAGCTGAGCAGCTTCGACAGCGCTCGATGGTACGCCTGGTGGACCCTTTACAACACACACACACACACACACACACACAACCGTCAGCCTTTCAACCGACGCCTTGAGCTCTGTGTCCGTACCTTCATCAGTCTGTTGGATTATATCTGAAGCTAATACATGTTTGAGTTTGATGTCTTTGTGCGTTTGCATGTGTGTTGGTGAATCGCACTGGAGCGTCCGTCCGTCGGTGTCGTCTCGGTCTCTGCATGAGGATGGAAACACGAGCTCATGTGGGAATGTGTTTGTGTGTCTTTAGGCCAATATAATCCGAATCCGACTTTGTGTGTTTGTCAAGTGTGTACTGTGTCAGTGTTATCGTCTCGATGACAGAACGAGTCCAGTGTTCCTGAAAGAATGTACACATCGTTCCTCAGGATATGAATGTCTCAATAAAATGGGCCTTTTCTGAACCGGTCAAGTGTCTGATTCTAGTGAACACTGCAGAACAGCTCAGAAGATCATTCTCAAATATGTGTACAAACACACTCTCTTCCAGATGCCAGATCTGCAGTACGGCCATATAGCCTATAGAGTAGGGGTGGAACGGTACATGTATTCGTATTGAACCGAAACGGTACGGGCGTCACGGTTCGGTGCACGAATTTGCACGCAGAATACACGGTATACAAATAAAAAAAACCTCTTAAATAGCGATGAATTTCGCTCTATTCGCTTTTGGTGTGACTGTGAACGCAGCAATGAACAGGCTGCGATCAAGATTGCAATGCAGGAGTGTGTGTGTCTGTGTGCGCGCGAGAGAGAGAGAGAGAGAGAGAGAGAGAGAGAGAGAGAGAGAGAGAGAGAGAGAGAGAGAGAGAGAGAGGCGCGATGAACAGTGTGTGTGTGTGTGCGAGAGAGAGAGAGGCGCGATCGAACAGTGTGTGTGTGTGCGCGCGCGTACGAGAGAGAGAGGCGCGGGCGCGAATCGCGCGATGAACAGTGTGTGTGTGTGTGTGTGTGTGTGTGCGTGCGAGAGAGAGAGGCGCGGTGTGTGTGTGTGTGTGTGTGCGCGCGTGCGAGAGAGAGAGAGGCGCGGGCGCGAATCGCGCGAAGAACTGTGTGTGTGTGTGTGTGTGTGTGTGTGTGTGTGTGTGTGTGTGTGTGTGTGTGCGTGCGTGTGTGTGTGTGTGTGTGTGAGAGTGTGTGTGTGAGAGAGGCACGGGCGATCGAACAGTGGAAACGTAAAAACATACTCCGTCATTTTTTTCCTACAGGACATCATTAAAACTGCAAATTGTTTACTTATATTTGTGTACACTCGCAATAAAACACAACATTGTGCTTTTGTCACACTCTAAACTGTAACCTACACCTGTTAACAAAAGTTTTTATGGTAGTATTATTTTATACGGTAATCAATTATTTATAATTCAGATGAGAATAAAGTTAGTTAATTAAAATGAAGGAAAACAAATATATTGATCTGAAATAGCAAATTAATTTTAAATTCATTCAGGTACAATTACCAAACATATCTCAAGGTCTTTTCGTCTTTTTAATAATTTAATTAATAAACTAATTATATAAAACTACTGTCAGTGCACTACAAATAAACTGGTTCTATGCCTTTATTAATAAAACTTATTTAAAAAAATACAAGGCTTAAGACATTTATAAAAATGCCTTCTGCATTTTTGCTTTGCTTTTCACTCCATTGTACCGAAATCGTACCGAACCGTGATGTCTGAACCGAGGTATGAACCGAACCGTGACTTCTGTGTACCGTTCCACCCCTACTATAGAGAGTACGCATACTTAATAAATGACTTCAGCCACAGGAATTGAACTTCACTTCTGTGCAATAATGCTCACGGTGTTTCATGAGTATTAGACTGCAGTAAGAGAAGAGCAAAGATTATTTCCACATCAACGACTGCTTTTATAAATCTGAACGGTGGCATACACACACACACTCTAAGATCACACCTGTGTGTTCGCACGTTTCATTATCGAGGCCGGTGTCACATGATGTACACACCTCTCGAATCAGATCGCTGTAAACACTGTCGCAGAGCGCAGATGCTACTGCACACTAGGGGTGGTTAATCTGTCTGATTTCCCGATTCGATTCGATTACGATTATTGAAGTCCCGATTCGATTACAGTCGATTTTCGATTATTAACGATTCTCGATTAGCGATTATTGATTTTCCATTTCACAACAGTAAATGAAAATACACTACAAAGTGATTGCAGTATTAAAAAAAGTCTTTTATTGAGTAACAACAACTCAAAGCACTTTCTGTGTCGTGTATGTAGCTTATGTTCTGTAGAACATGAATACATCACATTGTGTTGTGACTCATTAAGTTGAACTAAACAATAACAAATAAATGAAAGGCTTATTTCCTTTAGGAAGTAGATCAGAACCAACATACTGTAGAAATTGGACAATTTTCTTCTAGAAAGACAAGGTGTTGTTGAGGTGGAGGAAGACTGCAGGTTGCAGTCGAAACATGTCAAGGTAAAGAAAAAGTTTTTTCTCCACCTGAACACCTTGTCTTTCTAGAAGAAAATTGTCCAATTTAATCATTAAGAAGACAAAATGAACATTTTTGAACAGCTTACTGTAGCAGCCTTCAGCTTATATACTGTAGCCTACTGTAGAACACAGTGACAAAATGCAACACACTAACTAGACAGGCCTTTATAATTTAGTGATATGTTATTCTTTGAGTGTAGGCCTAGAGTCTCTAATCTCTAAAAATCTCCAAATGCTCGACGTGAAACTGCGGTCTTCCGTCCGACCTTTTACTGTCAATTGATTTTGATATGCGCGAGGAAGAGAGAGACCAAGACAGCGCTCGTGTTGTTTGTAGACGTGAGAGTGCGAGCGCGCGGCCGGGGCTCTCTCTCTCTCTCTCTCTCTCTGCTCGCGGCTGTCAAGCGCAGCAGTCATTTTTTTCCACATCACTCACCGATCAAAAAAGGCTTTGGCGGGACAAAAATGTGCTTTGGTGGCCATATGAAACGTGTCATATGGCTTCTCATATTTGTCGTGTTTTCCGAAATATTTTAGTTTTATTCCACAAAGCTTACAAATAGTGTGGCTCTTGTCCAGCTCCTTCCCCCCCTTCAACTTCACAGAAGCCAAAATATTTCCACACGTCAGCTTTTAACGAGGAGGGTGTTTGGATATCGCGCTCAGTCATCGCGTCTCTGTTATGTGCACAACACAGACGGTCCGGGCACTGCACTTCCGCGCTTCAGAGTTCCGTCAATATATTACGTTATTATATATATATATATATATTTTTTTTTTTTTTTGAAAATCGATTTTTGACATTTGCGAATCGATTCAGAATCGTCCACGTCCGCATCGCGATGCATCTAAGAATCGATTTTTCCCCCCACCCCTACTGCACACATGAAGAGTTTCACACTTAATCAATGATTAAAGACAACTATTAGAATGAACATCTTAAAGCTGCAGTCTGTAACTTTTTTGGGCTAAAAATGATCCAAAATAAATGTTTGAGCAAGTACATAACCGGCAGTGTTCAGCACTCTGCTTGCCGTAGCTCGGCTCACAGCGGTACGCTTGTGATGATGTTAGTAACTCCAGTGGGACTGGTGGATTTCCAATAATTAGAAAATCTCTGTTTGTTCAGAATTAAGCAGTAGGAAATTACTAGTCATCCAGTGTTTATATCAGCTATGCATTCTGTTAATTTTGTGAGTTGGTAAGTTTCGTCGGGGCGTGAAGAAATATAGAGCTGCCATGCTTCCTAATGATATCTCCCAAGGGTAGCATGTACAGAGTGTGTGTGTGTGTAGCATGTAGAGAGTGTGTGTGTGTGTGTGTGTGTGTGTGTGTGTGGCATGTACAGAGTGAACAGCAGCGGTCCTAGTACTGAGCCTTGTGGTACGCCATACTTGTGATCGATAAGACATCTCTTCATTTACTGCTACAAACTGATGACGGTCAGATAAGTATGATTTAAACCATGCTAATGCAATTCCACTAATGCCAACATCCTTTTCTTGTCTATTTAAAAGAATGTTGTGGTTGATAGTATCAAATCATGGTCATTGTGGCCATTAGTTCGAGTATAATGTCATGACTATGCAAGTAAAGAGATTGAGTAGTAAAAAGTCCCAAGCCTCAAATGAGCGCAAACACATTAAAGCAAGGCAACACATGTGAAAGGTGTAGCAAAGGTCTCAAAGAGAGGGGCTTTATTACAGCAGCGCATCACTGAAGGGTTGGCTGATGGCTGCTGGTGTCGACGAGTGTAGGAAACAGTGCAAGTACTGAAGAAAACACTCCGCTTCGTCAGCCGGTGACACGTCACACTACACAGCTGTCCTTCACACACACAACACCAACCTCTTACCAGTTAAACATCCCTCCTTTGCATAGTTAAAACTTCAAGCATATGAAAAATAAAACATTAACAATGAAACCACGACTACAAAAAAACAACACTTTCCAAACAGATCTTGAAATACACAAGGACATATTAATGATGGGCAGTTTTCCAGGCAATAATGAGGAGTGAATAATCAATAATGCAATATCTGCACTGACAACATGTTCAGGCGAAGAGACCAGCCTGTGGCGTTCTGGTGTAGATGTGTGTGTCCATGATCCCGAAGGAGCGTTCTGTCCACGGTCACGACATCAAGAGTATTAACCAGCCGGCATTCAAAATATTAATCATATTAAGCACATTTTAAATAAAAACACATTGACATTTCACTTCTAGGGTTCTGGAAATAGCCTCCAAATTTGATACACTTTTCCAAACAATGATCATTATTAAGTATATGTGGGTGAATCTTACCAAGGACATGTCTGGGTCGGAACTCACCAAGAAAATATTAAAGAAATTGGGGGAATTTTGCATTGACATTTTTTATAATTAACCACATTTCCCCAAATTATTATTAACCCTCTACTGCTCACGTGGCCGTCAAAAATGACCGAAATGTTGTTGTTTTTTAAGTTTAAAAAATATTTAATTTGAGGTTGATAACTCAAAAATGAGCTTTCAGTGAGTGTGTGTGTGGGCGCAGTACCGAACGCTTCCACTGGAGGAGACTCACCTCGCATCCGTTCCTAATGAGATCATCTTTGACGGCAAAAAGAACAAGTTTGACTATTTTTTCCAGGACCATTTCACCTTTAACAATCGTGTCCATGATTTTTGTGAGTTCACACAGCAAGTGCCAAAACCTTTACCAAACATCTACAAAACGTAAGTCAAATGTTTCTGTCAAAAATGATTGAGCGGCAGCAGAGGGTCAATGCGCTTCACTGTCATCAACACACACACACACACACTACATAGTCCTAAAAATAGGCTTCATTTATTCATGCAAACTATAATTTCTTGTTTTTATGTGGGTTTGATGAGGGTTTAAATGTGAGTTTAAGAGATTCTTCTGTCTGCACGTGAAATAACTATTGGAAAATATAGAGAGCTTGATCAGTGAAATAAATCTGGCACTGGATATTACAAATATTGTTGTCTCCAAAAAATGGCTTTAGTTCTTCTCTTGTGAGTCGCTTTGAATAAAAGTCTCCTAAATGCATGAATGTAATGTTAAAGCACTGTGTCTGTTAGCTTCACGTTATCCGTGTTCATGCTAGCGAAGAGGCTAACGTGTGTTCAAGCAGTCGATGCACCATCACTCCTCCAGATCTCACTGAACTCCAGCTGTGTGTCTCTCACTGGGGTCAGGTCTTCTGCTTATGCACATATTTCAGTGATGATGATGAATCTGCAGAGGGCCAGAGAACGAACTCCAGCGAGACGAGGCGTTTAACCTGAAACGAGCCTCAGCCCGTCCACAGAAGCAGGGCATTATGGGTGCAGTGACCCGGAAGAGATGTGAGCATGGCTTCAATAGACTCACTCCGTGCGAGTTCATCATCTATTTCAAATTGCTGCCCATTAAAGCGTTTGGATTGGAGCAAAGCGACAGCTCAGATGATGATGCGGGTCAGAAAGTCTACAGTACGAAACGGGTGTCGGGACGGGTCGGGAGCAGCGGTTCTCCTGAAGGTCAAGGGTCGCTTCCATCTCGGATCAGTGTGACCAACACACGCGCTCACGAACACAGCCGACACACTCGCGAACACAGCCGAATCTCCTGACAGCCTCAGGCTCTGCCGGTGGAGAAGTCCGTCTCTTCCTCCGTTTAAATCCCATCAGGACTCTGTTCTCTTTGTTGCCCCTCCGATCACACGCCACGACTGAGGACGGGCAAGAAAGAGGCGTCCTGAAACCCAGCCAGCGAGTGTGTGTGTGTGTGTGTGTTGCTCACTGCGAGGGCTGTGTGTGGCTCTTCTTCTCGCCGCCGCTGAACACCTGCTCGTACGACGGCGGCGGGTGGCTACAGTAGGACGGCGGCGGGGGGAACGAGCCAATCACGTGCGTCGCCGGGGCCGGCCCGGGGTAGGCAGGGGCCAGGGTCGTCGTCATGGCGACGCAGGGGTCAACGTAGCCTTGCATGCCCGGCTGCTGAGAGACTGGTGGAGAAACATGGACTAAATTAGTCAAGGTTTACCAGCGCTGTAACATGTGAACATGTGTCAGTGGAGATCTGATGTGCAGCTGCGTCACACTGAGGGACGACCGTGGCACACACACACACTAGGGATGGGCGATATATTATCGTTTGCGATATATCGTTAACATTTTTCCTCACGATAAGAATTAGTCTTCCCGCGATAATAACGATAAAGCCTAGCGGGACGCATTCGCAGCTCACGCGCATGGCTGAAGGCAGACGTGAAGCTGAGGTGAAGTTTATCGCTAAACGAGTAACTACCTCTACAATCTGGAACTGGTACACACAGATTTTCATCCGCCCATCTCGCCGAACACTGACTGAGCGCTTGAGTGTCGCTCTCCGTCAAGTGATCCGTAAAGCCCACTATATCAGTTCATCTCAATGAATACACAGTGTATTTGACGCGCAGTAAACACTGAGGCGCATGACGTGCTGTCACTGCTGAGAGCGCTCCGTGTTTCTCACGCACTCGATGAGAGAGAGAGAGTCTTACATACCACGCAGAATTGAAGTGTACATGACGTCTACATGTAAATTATATTATTTGTTGTATTTTCCTGTAAAAATAATGGAGTTCATTTGGAATTATTCAGCTTTGAGCAAGCAGAAACTAATGCGCAAACGCAGACGTGATGATATTCATGAACCCAGCAGCTCATCAATCCTTAGTGTGGTTTATATTGTTATTAGTATCAGAATTCGTAGTAGTATTAGTATAACTATTCGTTGTTAGATTTTTTATATTTCAAACTTGTAAATGATTTGTATTATTACTGTGTGATGTTTTTCAGTATAGTTGCACTATTTAAACATTATCTGCACTTTTACAGAAGAAACGTATGCAACTTTTCCATTTCTGCAAGGGATGGCGTTTACTGTTTTTTTTTATTATTATTTTATGTACGGTAATTGGTATTTTATAGGAGCCTATTTGGTGAAGGCTACATTTTACTTTGCATGCAGCTATCACTTGTAGCCAAAAACAGTGGTGAATATGGTATTGTATTTATATCGTCATTGATATCGTTATCGCAATAAATGCCAGAAAATATCGTGATATATTTTTAAGTCCATATCGCCCATCCCTAACACACACACACACGCACACACACTGGTGTAAGATAGAAGACGACTTTACAAAGTGTGATAATTCACTCTAATCTAGTTCCACACAGACAATTTGCACGTTTACTGTACATCGTCCTTACAAAACTGTTCCACTTCAGTTCGAAACCTAACATGGTTCAACATTGAATAAGACATTTCTACAGAAAGAAAATGAAATGCTATCAAATTAATTAGATGAAAATCTACACAAGTGTTCAGTTTTATTACCATCATTACCATACCACCTTGTATGTGAATACAAGGGGGAACTTAGGAATAATTCTGTATAGTAAAGTAAACATGGATCAAGAAAGCTGAATTATAAATGATCTCTAAAAGATGTTATATCTTCTTCCACACACAGAAGCAAATGTTTGAGTATGTGGTGAACTTCTGCATTGCACATGGTAAATATTACATCCATAAACAAAAAATTGCAAAATGCATACCTAAATATAATTTATTCCTAATAGAGATGGAGTCGCTGAAGAAGTGATTAAAGTTAATTAAAAATAAAAATAATGAAATTTTGTTTAACCTTTTGGAGGAATTCTTTATGTTGTAATGTCCCCACTATGTTTACCAAATTCTATGAATATTGAATGTGTCAATAGGAAAAAGGAAGAACTTTTTAGATTATTTTGTTCTTTACCATTCCAGATTTGTTTTTTGTTTTTTTCCTCCCAGCCGTTTGTTGAAGTCCTTAAAAAGCAATTTCTGTAAAAGAAAATCTCTCGCTTTGCTTTGAACTCTGAGCGCTGTAACTTTGCAGATGTTGTTCATGCTCAAACTGCAACATTACACACTAACTACAGCTAGAAAAGAGAAATCATGATCGACCACCGCTCTAATGCATGTGTGTTTGCTTCTGGAGCGTCAGTGAATGAGTGAACCTGTTTAGCTGTGTTTGAGTCCCTCAGTCGTCCTCAGTGTGGAAGATGAGCTCAATCAGGCACTGCTGGAAACAGTTCAAATGATCAAGATTTTTCGGGCCCTGGAATTTTTCTGAAGAACATTGTGCAGTTTAACCGCTCAGGACAAACAAAATCACAAACACAGCGGTGGATCATCCAGGGAACGGCCGTATTAAGAATCAGGGAACTTTTCAACGGGGTCATTTTTTATAAATTCAGCTATTTTTTGTTTGTCTTGTGGACTATATGTAAACATCTTTTATGTAAAACATCTTATTCAGGACAGTAGTGAATTAAAAATAACATGCATGTTGTATGCTCCCTCTTATTTTGTTCAAATGATTCACCTTTTCACAGATTCTGCAAGGGGTTCACAAACTTTCAAGCAGCACTGGGTATATATATATATAATCGCTTTCTCCCAAACCTTCGCTCTCTCTGCTCCTCTGGTGATGCTGAAACCATCAAGCGCTTCTGCAAGCTCTTACATGATCAGTGAACGCACACACTCCTGACATGTAAAGTATGAATATTGTTGACAGCTGCGTCAGATATTAATGAGCTGAAGCGCAGAGGAACATCACAGCTTAACGCATCAATCCCGCGTGTGTAAGAGAGGTAAGGCTGCAGGCTGATAATTATGGTGTTTTATGAAGCCTACCTAATTTTTTAGAGCTATATGTGTTTACGAATGCAAGATATCATTCAGATTTACTGCCAGAAACTGGACGCTTCAGTCTCATCGATGCGTGTCGAGCTTCGTCCGCTTCAACTGGAGCTCGACCCTTTTTATTTAGTTTTCCATTTAACGACGTGCTGTAAGATAAACGAGAGGGTGCTTTTCCTTTTTCATGTTCATTTGTCCTTTGAAAAACAAAAGCCGTAGCAATAAAACCCGAGGAATTGCAGCCGTATTCAGATTTTCAAGTAATTTGTCCAGTCAAGTAGCAAATAATGACGGTTCATTTTCCCTCAGAACAGATACAAACTTATTAAAGTCAAAAGTGACCTATTTCCCTAATATGTGTGTTTTAGTGGTTGGGAAAATAGTTCACCACGAAACTATGAATATTGCCAATTGTACAGCAATGTTTTATTCTCAGTCTATATAATCAGTTCTCTGTTTCGACTCATTCATAATAACACATTTCATAATAAAAGTCTTGTAGGAACGTGTGCAGCACTGCATATAAATGTTTAAAATGTGCAACTATTACATTGTTTTGAAAACATGGTCACAATATTACAGTATTACAGATGCTGCATGAATCTGGACTGACGGATCATTTATCAGCCTTATAAATACTATCAACTCAGATAAACCAGGAACAGACATGAACGGCTTTTTAGCTCTATTTACATTGAGATGAGAAAAAACCCAGATCGAAATTCACCCAAAACAGACAATTTAGGCGTCTTGGGTTTCATTATGAGTGTGTTACTGTAAACGGAGGGATGAGCTGAGATTACTGTCGCCGACGTTTCAATAACTTCACCAATTCATGAAATCTTGTTTTCGCCACTGAGTAGAAATATCACAATTATGAGGTTATATCTCACAATTTAGACTTTTTCCTCACAATTCAGAGATAAATCTAAATTGCTAGATGTTAGTGGTGAGTAATTAATGAAAGAATTTTCATTTTTGGTCAAACTATCCCTTTAACTCACAAATCTGAATGATAAAAAAGTAGCCTATATTTAAATTGTCATTTATAAAGTCAGAATTGTAAGATATAAACTTTTTTGTATTCCGCGGCAGAAACAAGCTTTCATACCAACATGACACAGACGCAGAGAACAGAAAGAGAAAATAACTTTGAATATTCCTTTAAAGATTCGAATTACACCCTAGTTTCGCTCCCAAATGAGGCAACATTTGATATGATAGTGAACACATGGAACAGCCGGAGACTAACCGAGCGCTCGCTGACCAGACGGCCAAACAGAAGTCCGGTCTCCCGCACATGAGGACAGCGTGTGTGGTGTGTGTGTGGCGTATGTGGTGTGTGTGTGGTGTTAGTGGCGTGTGTGTGTCTGTGTGTGGCGTATGTTGGCTCGGATCTGCTCACACACCAGAATGACTCATTTGCAGTGTTCTGCTGGTTTGGCTCAGAGACGAGGAAATAACTCAAGTGTGTGTGAAGTGCCGGCCTCGGCTGTACGCAGGAGCGACTCCAGACGACTGCCTTCACCAACACTGATAGAGGAGGATTCGGGAGATGCGTTTACTAACTAGGGTTTGGTTTAGATGAGGGACATATTTTGTAGCAGCAGCATACCAGCATATCGCGGGCGATACGTTCCCGCATATTAATGCGATATGGCTCAGCTTGTCCGTTAACTACGGCTCTTTGTAGTAAATGCCGCTCCATCTGAAAGCAGGTGAAGGCGATTTACTACTAATCAAGGAACCGGCTTTACTGACGAGATGCGCATAACAATGTGATGCGATATATCGGCCAGCCCTACTGTGACCAGTCTAAACCAGTCTCGCGTCGGACCGGTGTATCTGTGACCAATCTAAACCAGTCTCGAGTCGCACCGGTGTATCTGTGACCGGTCTAAACCAGTCTCGGGTCGCACCGGTGTATCTGTGACCAGTCTAAACCAGTCTCGGGTCGCACCGGTGTATCTGTGACCAGTCTAAACCAGTCTCAGGTCGCACCGATGTATATGTGACCAGTCTAAACCAGTCACGAGTCGCACCTGGTGTATCTGTGACCAGTCTAAACCAGTCTCGGGTCGCACCGATGTATATGTGACCAGTCTAAACCAGTCACGAGTCGCACCTGGTGTATCTGTGACCAGTCTAAACCAGTCTCGAGTCGCACCGGTGTATCTGTGACCAGTCTAAACCAGTCTCGGGTCGCACCGATGTATATGTGACCAGTCTAAACCAGTCACGAGTCGCACCGGTGTATCTGTGACCAGTCTAAACCAATCTCGGGTCGCACCGGTGTATATTTGACCAGTCTAAACCAGTCACGAGTCGCACCGGTGTATCTGTGACCAGTCTAAACCAGTCACGAGTCGCACCGGTGTATCTGTGACCAGTCTAAACCAGTCTCGAGTCGCACTGGTGTATCTGTGACCAGTCTAAACCAGTCTCGGGTCGCACCGATGTATGTGTGACCAGTCTAAACCAGTCACGAGTCGCACCGGTGTATCTGTGACCAGTCTAAACCAGTCTCGGGTCGCGGCGGTGTATATTTGACCAGTCTAAACCAGTCACGAGTCGCACCGGTGTATCTGTGACCGGTCTAAACCAGTCACGAGTCGCACCGGTGTATCTGTGACCAGTCTAAACCAGTCTCGGGTCGCACCGATGTATATGTGACCAGTCTAAACCAGTCACGAGTCGCACCGGTGTATATTTGACCAGTCTAAACCAGTCACGAGTCGCACCGGTGTATCTGTGACCAGTCTAAACCAGTCACGAGTCGCACCGGTGTATCTGTGACCAGTCTAAACCAGTCTCGAGTCGCACTGGTGTATCTGTGACCAGTCTAAACCAGTCTCGGGTCGCACCGATGTACGTGTGACCAGTCTAAACCAGTCTCGGGTCGCACCAGTGTATCTATGACCGGTCTAAACCAGTCACGAGTCGCACCGGTGTATCTGTGACCGGTCTAAACCAGTCACGAGTCGCACCGGTGTATCTGTGACCAGTCTAAACCAGTCTCGAGTCGGACCGGTGTATCTGTGACCAGTCTAAACCAGTCACGAGTCACACCGGTGTATCTGTGACCAGTCTAAACCAGTCTCGGGTCGCACCGGTGTATCTGTGACCAGTCTAAACCAGTCTCGGGTCGCACCGGTGTATCTGTGACCGGTCTAAACCAGTCTCGAGTCGGACCGGTGTATCTGTGACCGGTCTAAACCAGTCACGAGTCGCACCGGTGTATCTGTGACCAGTCTAAACCAGTCTCGGGTCGCACCGGTGTATCTGTGACCGGTCTAAACCAGTCTCGAGTCGGACCGGTGTATCTGTGACCGGTCTAAACCAGTCACGAGTCGCACCGGTGTATCTGTGACCAGTCTAAACCAGTCTCGAGTCGGACCGGTGTATCTGTGACCAGTCTAAACCAGTCACGAGTCACACCGGTGTATCTGTGACCAGTCTAAACCAGTCTCGGGTCGCACCGGTGTATCTGTGACCGGTCTAAACCAGTCATGAGTCGCACCGGTGTATCTGTGACCAGTCTAAACCAGTCTCGAGTCGGACCGGTGTATCTGTGACCAGTCTAAACCAGTCACGAGTCACACAGGTGTATCTGTGACCAGTCTAAACCAGTCTCGGGTCGCACCGGTGTATCTGTGACCAGTCTAAACCAGTCACGAGTCGCACCGGTGTATCTGTGACCAGTCTAAACCAGTCTCGGGTCGCACCGGTGTATCTGTGACCGGTCTAAACCAGTCTCGGGTCGCACCGGTGTATCTGTGACCAGTCTAAACCAGTCTCGGGTCGCACCGGTGTATCTGTGACCAGTCTAAACCAGTCTCGAGTCGGACCGGTGTATCTGTGACCGGTCTAAACCAGTCACGAGTCGCACCGGTGTATCTGTGACCGGTCTAAACCAGTCACGAGTCGCACCGATGTATGTGTGACCAGTCTAAACCAGTCACGAGTCGCACCGGTGTATCTGTGACCGGTCTAAACCAGTCACGAGTCGCACCGATGTATGTGTGACCGGTCTAAACCAGTCTCGAGTCGGACCGGTGTATCTGTGACCGGTCTAAACCAGTCACGAGTCGCACCGGTGTATCTGTGACCGGTCTAAACCAGTCACGAGTCGCACCGGTGTATCTGTGACCAGTCTAAACCAGTCACGAGTCGCACCGGTGTATCTGTGACCGGTCTAAACCAGTCACGAGTCGCACCGGTGTATCTGTGACCGGTCTAAACCAGTCTCGGGTCGCACCGGTGTATATGTGACAACTATACATTGTATGGGTCAAAATTATCGATTTTTCTTTTATGGCAAAAATTAATAGAATATTAAGTAAAGATCATGTTCCATGAAAATATTTTGTAAATTTCCTACCGTAAATATATAAAACATTTATTTTAGTGAGTGAATGCGGCACAATCGCCAACATAAATGCACAACTTTAAAGGAAAGTCTCAATATTTAGTTTTTTTTGCACCCTCAGATTCCAGATCTTCAATAGTTGTATATCGGCCAATTATCGTCCTGTCCTAACAAACCATACATCAATGGAAAGCTCATTTATCCAGCTTTCGGATGATGTATAAATCTCAAATTCAGAAAATGGACCCCTGTGACTGGTTCTGTGGGCCAGGGTCACAGATGCTGATTTCTGCTCAGGTGACGTATGAAGCCTTCAGGTGTTGAGTGAGTGCTCACCTGGTGTGCTGACCGGCTGTCTGGTGAAGGACACGTTAAAGGTCGGATCTTCGCTGAGCGGAGACGGATACATCCGCCGGCGAACGAAGAAGCCCGCGCCGCAGCAGAAGAGCACGCCCATCATCAGCAGCAGCCTATCAGAGACGAGCACAATCTGCCAATCACAGCCCTCATCAAGCAAACGTGCGAAAACTGCTTTTGAAATCAAACATAATTAGATTCATGTTGCAACAGATAACGGGGAAGCTTGTGTCTGCCACAAAATAAAAAAGGTAATAGCGACTTTTTATCTCACAATTCTGACTTTTATCTCAGAATTGCGTGATATAAAGTCACAATTGCGAGTTATAAAGTCAGAATTATCTTTATAAAGCTCGTTTCTGCCACTGATTTTTTTTCTCAATACTGTGAGATATAAACTTTCAATTGTGAGTTATAAAGTCCAAATTGTGATAAAAAGTCGCAACTGTGAGAATAAATGTCATTGTGAGATAATTAGCTACCTTTTAAAAAAAATTATTCTCCAATGAACCTTTCGGCGATCAGTTCTTAAAATACTTTATTTTTTCTTAGTGTGAAGAACATTTTAATAATCTGAAGAATCTTTTGTGGAATGGAATATGTAAGGAATAATTGACTTCAGGCCGTTGAATTATTAGAAAAATAATGCACACCCGAGGTAGTAATGCGGTCACGACGCGAAGCGGAGTGGCCGTTACACCTCTGGTGTGCATTATTTTTCTAATAATTCAACGGCCTGAAGTCAATTATTCCGCTTATACTACAGTTACCACACCACGGAACATTGTTCAGATGATGCATTTCAAGACGTTTGTCAAGTTTTTGTCATTAAAACGCTCTTGTATGTAGGACTAATTTCTTACGCATCTAATCCCATGCCTCCGTTGCTAATTCCAAAACGTCATTTTAGAGTTAGTAACGGAGGTTTGAGCCACTGATAGCAGACTAATGATGGGGACACACTTACGACTCGCTGAAACATTCGAAGACTGACTGTTTCCATCAACTGTAGCAACACAGACTGTGAATAGGCTAAGTTACAGACTGAACGCGCTGAACATGAACACGCGTTTGGGCATGATCAGTCATAAGTATCAAATTACATTCATAACTGGCCTTAGTCAGTGTGCCCCGGCTTTATGCAGTTATTAATGCCGTTATTAGAGAGAGAGAGAGAGAGAGAGAGAGAGAGAGAGAGAGAGAGAGAGAGAGAGAGAGAGAGAGAGAGAGAGAGAGAGAGAGAGAAGAGAGAGATGTTGCAATAATGAGACAGAAAAGCATGTGTGTCAATATTATTATTTATTTATTAATTAAATTTGTTTTAATTCGTTCATTCTTGTTTTCTATAATTGACAGTAGATAACCCAATAAATGAAACACACAAAGCCCTTTTAACAAGTAGGCCTATCAATAATTATTTATTTGTTATATTATCTGGACTAATTACGAAAACCCAGCAGGACTATCAATTTATTTATATAGCCTATAATCAATTTAATTTTCTATTTAGCCTATAGATAGGACTACATACTTTATTTATTAAAATTAAACTGTATGTGTCCATTGATTGAAGTTAGACATCGAAAATTGCAGATCAAGCGCATGGGGCTGCATGTTTTTTTCTTGTTATGAATTGTATCCTATTTTATTTTCCGTTATTACAGTTAACTACGCGCAGTGATATGGAACTGTAATGCGGTCAAACCTGCCTGGAACTACTTTAGCCGTGCGTTTCCCTGAAAATAATTGCACACCTTAGAACGTTCTCAACCAATCAGAATCAAGCATTCAACAGCCCTGTAGTATAAGGAACCTTTATTTTGTAGAGTGAAATGAAACACAATTTAACTGTATAAAGCAGAATAAAAGTGTGTTCTCACCAGAAGTACCAGAGCCTCTGTATGGAGAGAGCGCGGACGCAACAGCGAGTCCCACAGCAGTCTTCATACGAGCGGCATCTGTGGACCAGAACATCCACACGTCAGAACCACACGCGGTCGGAGCGTCTCCAGTGCACTTCATCACCGAAAACACGGACAATGATGAACGGAGCAGCGGGAAACCGGGATGAAAATACATCCACTGATACACAGAATACTAATATTTCACAAGAACCATCAAAGATCATCAAATGTGCTTGTAGGATCTGAACTCATGATGGAAGCGTCAGTGTAAAGTTTCTCCTGTATTACATGATGTGCGACTGCAAAGAGTTCCGTATCCTGACTGACATCATCGTTCTTCAGTAGTAAAAGCATGGATGTGCACAGGGAAGAGGACAGCCGAAGACACTGAAGGGTTGAACAGCGATTCTCATTTGGTACATGTGTTATAATGAGGGGCGATTATCTGCTGAGATAATGTCCAATAAAACATGATTTATCTTCTACAGGGGATGTAAATGCCTCAGTTGAAATGGATCAAAATAAAACACTAAATACTGTGTGGAAAAAAATATTAAAATTTCAGGTTCCAGAAGAGTTCTCGCGAGCGAACTGGGGATGGACGACATCTTATATCACGATATGAGTCATTTATCACATTTTATGTTTTTGTTTATCCTGGAAATGTTGTTACGATATCAAGTGACTCCAGTGAAATTACACTATTCTCTACACCAGTTTTAACAGCACAGCAAAAGCTCACACTAATGCAAGCAACACGTTCTCAAGCCGTTCTTAAACACAAGTAAACAGTGAGTACTAAAATACTAACAAATCACAAGCAATAGAACAAATATTTTCTGTGCCATATTGCACTTTTAACAACTCTCAACATCAAGTACATTATTCCTCATTCATCCATGTTTCTTTATCACTCTAATGTGTCAATAACTCCTGCCCACTAATCCTGATGGATATATTTACATACAGCGATTTATAAACCTTATAGAAAGACTTAAAGGGGACATATGAAAATCTGACTTCTTCCGTGTGTAAGTGCTGTAATCCGGCACAGAAAACGTGAAAAGTGAAACCCAGTAACTGTGTTCTGGTGAGTCTTTCTCTGAGAGCATGACAAACAATAAGCCGATCAGATTTCGCTCCTTCTGGCGTATGAAGAGGATCTTATTATAATATTCCCGGCCCTTAATCTGCACGTTTACACACACCAGCGACATTGGGTTCGGCGAGCGCGAACAGAGACCAGTTCTAACGCACTGGAGAAGATCCAGCAAAGCCTGAAACTGTTCTGTGGTCGAGCACACACACTCGTCCTCAGACCCGCAGCTCATGGCCACAGGGGGGCGCTAATGCAGTCGCTGCTTAAACAACGTGAAGATGAAGACTGTGTACTGAGCAGAACACACTAGCGCCGGGTGCCTGAAAGCTCGTCTGTGCTGATCTGATATTCGTGTCGGCCCAGATCCGGCCCACATCTGGCACACGTGCACTCCACATGTGGGCCGACACCATGGTTCTGTCTGGGAGATTAGTGAAGGTTTGTGAGTGTGTATTGTGACCCGTGACGGGCGAGCAGAGCTCAAACAGGGATCAATCATGAAAGCTCTTCAACATGACAGAAGAAGACTGTAAGAACCAAAGGCCATTTTGCCAAGAGCTTCAGCTCAACAGCTTCTGCTAATGCCTGAGAGCCGCGAATCAGAGCGCTGATACGGCTGAAATAAAGCTCGCTCGACGCACTGCCTCAAGACCCGCTCATCTAGAGTCACGCCGGAGAGCATCACACACACCTTATAATGTGTGGCCTGGGAAAGCTCTGTCTCGTGGGAACAGCGTCCACCGTTCTCGGTGTTCTCCAGGAAAGCAAGCTGTGGCACACACTGAATAAACGAGCCCCATTAGAGTCACTTTATTATATTAGCATAACTAATGGGCTGTTGATGAGAACCAGAGGCTGATTATCACCATTATCCCCATCACACCAGTGATATACAACCATCACCATCACACCAGTGATATACAACCATCACCATCACACCAGTGATATACAACCATCCCCATCACACCAGTGATATACAACCATCACCATCACACCAGTGATATACAACCATCCCCATCACACCAGTGATATACAACCATCACCATCACACCAGTGATATACAACCATCAGACCTCCAGTAGCAACTAACAGGCATACAAACAAAACATAAAATAAAATCAGTAGCAATACTAAAGTTTCAACGTCAACAAGGTTCATTGATTTAAATGATTATGCGTTAGCCTCATGGCATAATTGCCTTAGACATATTTAAAATAAACATGACTTAGGCAATTATGCTATAACGATATCAAACACCAGACATCAACCATGATGGTGATTCACAGATTTGATTTATTAATACTTTTATTCATCAAGGATGCATTCAATTGATCAGTAAAGACATTTATGTTTATATTTCAAATAAACGCTGTTCTTTTGAACTTTCTATTCATCAGAAAATCCTGGAAAATAAAATGTATGACGGTTTCCGCAAAAATATGAAGCTGTTATTAACACTGATAATAATCATAAATGTGTCTTGAGCATCAGATCCTCATATTAGAGTGATTTCTGAAGGATCATGTGACACTGAAGACTGCAGTAATGATGATCTAAATCGTCAGCTATTGTTGTGTTGGTCCAGTTGAAGTGAATCTTGATAATCTGTTAAATCACTACATGATGTGATTTATGGGTTGCCATCAAATCATTTATTCCTTCATTTCTCTGTTCTGGAAAGCGGGACGCTGCAGTTCTCTGATGTTTAGTCTCTGTTCTGACACTCGATCTGAAGAGAACCCGAGCCGGAGCTGAACGCCTCCACCGGTACTTTAACACACAGTAATCTCCAGAGCCACAGCACTGTTCCCTTCCTCATGAGTTATTCAGACGCACCGCAGAGTTCTGCTGAACTGGAGCAACTGTCATTCACAAAGTTACCACTTAAAAAAGAGTTTCAGCCAATGACTTCATCATTCCCAGTTCCTATGTTTGAGTCCCTTCTGCAGATTTCCCTCTACACAGATAATGTGTGTGTGTGTGTGTGTGTGCACTGATCTGACCAGTAATGTGTGTGTGTGTACTGATCTGACCAGTAATGTGTGTGTGTGCACTGATCTGACCAGTAATGTGTGTGTGTGCACTGATCTGACCAGTAATGTGTGTGTGTGCACTGATCTGACCAGTAATGTGTGTGTGTGTGCACTGATCTGACCAGTAATGTGTGTGTGTGTGTGCACTGATCTGACCAGTAATGTGTGTGTGTGCACTGATCTGACCAGTAATGTGTGTGCACTGATCTGACCAGTAATGTGTGTGTGTGTACTGATCTGACCAGTAATGTGTGTGTGTGCACTGATCTGACCAGTAATGTGTGTGTGTGCACTGATCTGACCAGTAATGTGTGTGTGTGCACTGATCTGACCAGTAATGTGTGTGTGTGCACTGATCTGACCAGTAATGTGTGTGTGTGCACTGATCTGACCAGTAATGTGTGTGTGTGCACTGATCTGACCAGTAATGTGTGTGTGTGCACTGATCTGACCAGTAATGTGTGTGTGTGCACTGATCTGACCCATTGAACACCAGCTGACTAAAGCTCTTCACCAGCATGAAGACGTGACACACTCTCTCTGAAGGAAAACACAGTCTGAATCTTCACAACGCTTCATCTTCTCCGCGTTTGTCCCTGGACTTTACTTATACTTCCTGTTTCCTGTTCTGTCGGCCATCTTTGTAGTCCTTTTGTAGTTTTCCCATGTTGATTACTTCCCTGATTGTTCCCGGGTGTGTTGTGTTTTCTGTGGTTCTGAAACGCGGGGATGCAGAGAAGATGATGATGGGGTTTATTAATAATCCTAACAGAACTACAGCCAGGAGAACAGGGAGCACAGAGAACAGGAATCCACATTAAACACCAGACAACGGCTCGGAGAAACACGCTGATTATGGTGACAACATGATTTTAGAAAAATGTAGCATCGGTGCATCAAAAATGATTTAAACAGTGAGTTTTGAAGTGATCTCTTCCAGTAACTCAGAGATGTGGATTCAGACGGGATGTTTACGCGGACGACAATACAATCACAGACTAACCCTGATGATGATGACAACCAGAGTCGGCGCCAGAGCAGATCTACTGGAGGGGCATTGGGTCATCCGCGGGGGGGCACTGCCGTTTGAGAAAAAGAAAAAAAATTCTGCTAACACAGCAGAAATGCTTTAAAAAACGAAACACGTTTTTTATTTATTATTATTATTTGTTAATTGGGAATATGTGGCTACTTTACAAATAAATAATTAACAAAAAAAATACAACAAAAAAAATATTAATTTATAGAAGTTTGATTTAAAAACGATTGTATTGCTTCCGCGTGAACATAACTGTGTCCATGGCAATGCTCTGTTTTTAATGGCAACGGTGTGCTATACTTAGCAGCGGTCTGTTATCAAGAAATTTTAAAGGGGTCATATAATGGTACATGCACTTTTACAAGTTGATTGTACTGAAATGTGTGTTGGCAGTGCCTGTACACAACCATCATATAATGATAAAAATCCATCCAGTGTTTTTGTTTTAATCTCCTTATATGTTTTCCCCTGCCTCAAATCGAGCCGTTCGACCGTGTGACGTCACAGACGCCCCGCCCACGAGTGTTGATTGACAGCATCGTTTCAACACAGACCCGCCCTCGCTCGTGAGAGCTGTCAATCATAGTCTGCGTGGACCGGCGCGCTCATTGTTGATATGCTGGAGCACTGTCTATGAGCAGAATGGCTCTAAGCGATTGTGGTGTTCTGTTCTTGGGTGTAATAACGAACACAGTCATTTTAATGTTCCTAAATCCGAACCGCTGAAGACGCAGTGGCTGAGTTTGTTTTCGAAGGGAATATTCCCCACGAGCAACGTCAATGCTCTCATGTTTGCGCGAATCATTTCACACACCAGACTGCTTTATAAACGAGGGTCAGTATAAAGCTGGATTTGCTAAGAAGCTGCTCCTGAATAAAGGATCGGTACCAGATATTCGTGTTCCTGCTGAACCTCCAGAAGAACTGAAGTGAGTGTAACGTTTTATTAAACTTTATATTAATATATTAATCTTTGCAAATCGCTAGCTGCACGCTTCACAATGAATGCGTCTAAGGTTTACACTCAGGGTACATTACGGCAAGTTTTCTATGCATGACGTTCTCAATATAATTCATAATTCCACGTTTATAATGAACAACGCATTATGGTTATTGTGTTACAAACGGTGTACGCGCAGAACAGAGGGGCGGAGTCAGCACAGCTCATTATCATTTAAAGGCATATGCACTGAAACGGCGTGCTGAAAACAGAGCTGTTTTTGACCAGGTAAAATAAGTGTTTTCTTACAATACTAATGAGAATTTTTAATTAAAGTATATTACAAACTTTTAATTTAGACCCTAAAGAATCATATTAGCTTGTACAAAAATGGCATTATATGACCCCTTTAAGAAGAGGCTTAGCAGGACTAAACCATTTTCGTAAATCCATTTTTTTTTCTTTCGTTTATTAGGCCCGGGTAACAGTTAGCCGCTAGCTATCTATGATATTATAGACGGACAAACTGTTCTTTTCGATTCAAACAACTTTTGCGCGATGCAAATCAAATGTAACAATTTTACTCAGCGACCAATAAGAATTGACCAATGATGACCAATAGTCAATAGTCATGAACAACCAAAATTATTTATTTTGAAATCATTTCATTTTATTTCATTTAAGTTAAAGTTTGTACATTTAATATTGAAAAAAATAACTAAAAGGGATATTTTTTTGGGACACACCATTCAAAGTGCTCGTTGACTGCGGTCTGTGGTGCTGATAGTGTTCTCTCGTGGCTCGCGCTGCCACAAGAAACATCTTCACACGGACGCGCGCTTGATCGGTTGCAGAGAAATCTCTATTCGTACCGGTGAAATCACAAAGTAAAATGCATTCAAACATGTCCCTGACAACCACTGATAAACATAATCGGTTTTAATGGGAAAATTTTTTTTATGCGAGTGTGGGTTAGAACCCAGAATCTCTTGCACGCTAGTCTAAAATTCCACCACTGGACCATTCAAGCACTTACAAATAACAGTCGGATTGAATATATCTAACGTTATTTCTCTATAACACATATTAGATCTCATTAGACAACAAATTAAACACAATGTACTGTTTAAATAGATTGCTGGACATTTGGTGTTGTATAGCCTACATCTGATTTATGATTTAGCATTGTATTAGAAACTCTGGTAGGAGGGGCATCAATGAGCGCTAGGGGGGGGGGGGGGGGGGCACTGCCCTCGAATGCCCCACCATAGCGCCGACCCTGATGACAACACCGTACGAGCCCGAGAGGAACAGCTCGCGCACGCATAGCTCAGGCAGTCCGGCGGGATAGCGGGATACAAGCGACAGCGTCAGTCTGAGCCGGTGGACACCGCGACAGTTAATCTCTCACACACACACACACACACACTGATAGACTCTACTACACACTACACCACACCACACTACACACTACACTACACTACACACTACACTACACTACACTACACACTACACTACACTACAGACTACACTACACTACACACTACACTACACACTACACTACACTACAGACTACACTACACTACAGACTACACTACACTACACTACACACTACACTACACACTACACTACACACTACACTACACTACACACTACACACTACACTACACTACACTACACACTACACTACACTACACTACACTACACACTACACTACACTACACTACAGACTACACTACACTACACACTACACACTACACTACACTACACTACACACTACACTACACTACACTTACACTACACACTACACTACACACTACACTACACTACACACTACACACTACACTACACTACACACTACACTACACTACACACTACACTACACTACACTACACACTACACTACACACTACACACTACACTACACTACACTACACTACACACTACACTACACACTACACTACACTACACACTACACTACACACTACACTACACACTACACACTACACACTACACACTACACTACACTACACACTACACTACACACTACACTACACTACACTACACACTATACTACACTACACACTACACACTACACTACACACTACACTACACACTATACTACACTACACTACACACTACACTACACTACACACTACACTACACACTACACACTACACTACACTACACTACACACTACACTACACTACACTACACACTATACTACACTACACACTACACTACACACTACACTACACTACACTAAAGACTACACCTACACTAACTACACACACACTACACTACTACTACTAAACACTACACTACCACTACACAGCTACACTACACAATAGTACTACACACTATCTCATAGTAGTCTATGTATATAGTCTCTAAGACACACTACACACTTACTACTCACTACACTACACTTACACTACACTACACACTACCTACACTAAAATACAATACGATCTACACACTACACTACACACTACACTACACACTACACTACACACTACACTACACTACACACTACACACTACACTACACTACACACTATACTACACTACACACTACACACTACACTACACACTATACTACACTACACACTACACTACACACTACACACTACACTACACTACACACTACACTACACTACACACTACACTACACACTACACACTACACACTACACTACACTACACTACACTACACTACACTACACAACACACTACACTACACACTACACTACACTATACTCTACACTACACACTACACACTACACACTACACACTACACTACACACTACACACTACACTCTACACTCTACACTACATACTACACTATACACACTACACACTACACTACACACTACACTACACACTACACTACACTACACTACACTACACTACACACTACACTACACTACACTACACACTACACTCTACACTACATACTACACTATACACACTACACACTACACACTACACTACACTACACACTACACTACACACTACACTACACTACACACTACACACTACACTACACTACACACTACACTACACACTACACTACACACTACACTACACTACACACTACACTACACTACACTACACACTACGCTACACTACACTACACACTACACTCTACACTACATACTACACTATACACACTACACACTACACTACACACTACACTACACACTACACTACACTACACTACACTACACACTACACACTACACTACACTATACACTACACTACACTCTACACTACACACTACACTACACACTACACTACACACTACACTACACACTACACTACACACTACACACTACACTATACACACTACACACTACACTACACTACACACTACACTACACTACACACTACACTACACACTACACTACACTACACACTACACTACACTACACTACACAATACACTACACTACACTACACACTACACTACACACTACACTACACACTACACTACACTACACACTACACTACACTACACTACACACTACGCTACACTACACTACACACTACACTCTACACTACATACTACACTATACACACTACACACTACACTACACACTACACTACACACTACACTACACACTACACTACACTACACTACACTACACACTACACACTACACTACACTATACACTACACTACACTCTACACTACACACTACACTACACACTACACTACACACTACACTACACACTACACTACACACTACACACTACACACTACACTACACTACACACTACACTACACTACACACTACACTACACACTACACTACACACTACACTACACTACACACTACACTACACTACACTACACAATACACTACACTACACTACAATACACTACACTGCACACTACACTACACACTACACTACACACTACAATACACACTACAATACACTACACTACACACTACACTACACTACACTACACTACACTACACACTACACACTACAATACACACTACAATACACTACACTACACACTACACTACACTAACACACACTGATATACTCCGACATCTCGAACTGATCCTCATGTACACAGCTCTTCTTGTCTAATGTTTGATGCAGAGGATGAGAGTAACTCTGATGTCGGCATGAGGAGATCTGTGGAGCTGATGCATGGGGATTGTGGAGCGCGGAGTGAATGTTAGAGCTAATGCAATAAGAGAGATCAACAAAACCACTGTGTTAAAGTCCCCCTGCAGTCAATCATTTTATCCCTTAAAACTCACCAAAATGACATATCTAAACGGTTTTCCTTGAAGAAAATTCTTCATGCCTTATAATATCTTGAATGTAACTCGACACCCTTGCCTCATTTAGTATGCGCGGTTCAATGAATATGCAAATGAGCCCCGCCTCCACTCACTCACTCACTCAGAGATCCACTGGTTGACGATCACACGTTGATCTGATTGGTTACACGACGACGGTTGTGACAGGTAAGAGAGTTTGAGAATAAAAGTGATAGTACTCACATGAAATAGATGGGGTATCCTCCTTCAAAATACCAGCAATACTTCTTTGCTTCTATGCACTGCAAAAAAGACAAACAAATAATACAAATTAAGATACATATAATTGACTATTATAAATTATATATAGACTATGTTATGAATTATTATTATTTTCTATTATTATTTTATAAAAATCTACCATATCCTGGGTAAATCAATTTGATTGTACATACTTTTATTATCCGGACATACTTATTTTGTCACATCCTGTTTTTTGCCTATCCTACTATATAGAAGGGAATTATGCGATGTGATTATTACACTAGACCAATCACAACACACTGCTCCAGCCGACCAATCAGAGCACAGTGTGCTTTTCAGGAGGAGGGGCTTCATAGAGACAGGAAGTAAACAGAGCGTTACTGACAGACTGGGAAGAGAGGAGCCGCAACAATGGAGAATATGAGGAGAATAATCAACATTCAAGCAGGACAATAACTCCAAGTGTGAATAAACAACTCCTATTTGTATTAATGTAGAATATTGCACTGGTTTCATCTTTTTTGTGCGTTGATTCCCCAAAATAAATGTTGACAGACATTTTGCGAAGACAATATTAAAGTCTAGAAGAGGCGTTCAATACTGCAAAAACCTGATGATCAAACCTTCCTGAAATGCAGAACCAGAATGCCAGCAAAGGTATAATGGACAAATGTATAATACACATTTCTGAAGCAAAAACAGCAGAGACTGAGCAGACGCGGGTCAGGTGTGGATCTGCGACACGAAATACGCATTTCTGTACCGATGCTTCATAGCTGTATATTGAATTATGGATTGAAGGAAATAATCCAGGCAGAAAATGATGATCTGCACCTTTTACGTTCTTCTAAACATGTTTTTCTATCAGCAAACGTTCCTTTCCACACTGTTATATAAGAATGAAGGCAAACATATAAAATAAATACAAAAATACATAAATAAAATGAAAATATATAATAATATAAAATACAAACAATATAATACCACCATTTAAAAGTTTGGGATCATAATTAAAAAAAAGAAAAAGAAATAAACACTTGAAAAAAAAAGCTCTTCTTTCAAACTTTTTGTCCATCAGATTCATGAAAAATTTATCATCGTTTCTACAAAAATAGCAACTGTTTTCAACACTGATAATAAATGTTTCTTGAGCATCAAATCATCATATTAGAGTGATTTCTGAAGGATCATGTGACACTGAAGACTGGATAAAGAGGGTACACTTTGGTCTACATATATAACATATATAACATGTGGAAAACAGCGAGTTTTAAACTTTTAAACTTTAACATGTCTGCTTCCCTTTAAAATTATGATTTTGGCCTATAAAGTCTTGACTTTCTCAACTGCATCCAACAATTAAAATCATACAAAATACCATAATATTGACCATAATTATTTTAATTATAACCTAATAAATGTTCAGCATCATTTGGACCCTACAAGTAAATTATCGCATTTTATAATAAATTGTAGTGGCTGCATTAAATTCAACGATTCGATCCTATTATGAATAAACAAAACTGCCTTCACTTTAACAGGACCAAAAAGTGTCAGAAGTAAATTTAAAGCACTTTATTGTAATAATAAAAAATAATCAACAAAAAAATGTGTTTAATTTATGGAAAATAAGTTATTACAGTTAGTCAATAGCTATCAGTAACTAGCCTAAATTTGTTACTTCAGATAAATTTTTTTTTAGATGTTTTAAATATTTACAAATTATAAAAACTGTGATTATAACATACATTTGATATATAATGATATAATTTTATATATAACAATAACACATAATGTTGATGTTTATAGAACAATCGCACAAATTCAGGGGAAACTGTATAAAAGGCCCAAAAAATGACAAACCTGATTTAAAATGAAGAGAAATAAGTAAACCTGTTGGTTTGAGCGGAAGCTGATCCTGGTCCTGTGCTGGACTGTGGTGGACTGTGCTGGACTGTGGTGGACTGTGCTGGACTGTGCTGGACTGTGCTGGACTGTGGTGGACTGTGCTGGACTGTGGTGGACTGTGCTGGACTGTGGTGGACTGTGCTGGACTGTGGTGGACTGTGCTGGACTGTGCTGGACTGTGTTGGAGTGTGCTGGACTGTGCTGGACTGTGGTGGACTGTGGTGGACTGTGCTGGACTGTGGTGGACTGTGGTGGACTGTGCTGGACTGTGCTGGACTGTGCTTGACTGTTCTGGACTGTGCTGGACTGTGCTGGACTGTGCTGGACTGTGCTGGACTGTGGTGGACTGTGCTGGACTGTGCTTGACTGTGCTTGACTGTGGTGGACTGTGCTGGACTGTGGTGGACTGTGCTGGACTGTGGTGGACTGTGATGGACTGTGGTGGACTGTGGTGGACTGTGCTGGACTGTGGTGGACTGTGCTGGACTGTGCTGGACTGTGCCGGACTGTGCTGGACTGTGGTGGACTGTGCTGGACTGTGCTGGACTGTGCTGGTCTGTGGTGGACTGTGCCGGACTGTGCTGGACGGTGGTGGACGGTGGTGGACTGTGCTGGACTGTGCTTGACTGTGGTGGACTGTGCTGGACTGTGCCGGACTGTGCTGGACTGTGCTGGACTGTGGTGGACTGTGGTGGACTGTGCTTGAATGTGGTGGACTGTGCTGGACTGTGTGCTGGACTGTGGTGGACTGTGGTGGACTGTGCTTGAATGTGGTGGACTGTGCTGGACTGTGCTGGACTGTGGTGGACTGTGGTGGACTGTGCTGGACTGTGGTGGACTGTGCTGGACTGTGCTGGACTGTGCTGTGGTGGACTGTGGTGGACTGTGGTGGACTGTGCTGGACTGTGCTGGACTGTGGTGGACTGTGCTGTGCTGGACTGTGCTGGACTGTGCTGGACTGTGGTGGACTGTGCTGGACTGTGCTGGACTGTGGTGGACTGTGCTGGACTGTGCCGGACTGTGCTGTGCTGGACTGTGCTGGACTGTGGTGGACTGTGCTGGACTGTGGTGGACTGTGCTGGACTGTGCTGGACTGTGGTGGACTGTGGTGGACTGTGCTGTGCTGGACTGTGCTGGACTGTGGTGGACTGTGGTGGACTGTGCTGGACTGTGGTGGACTGTGGTGGACTGTGGTGGACTGTGCTGGACTGTGCTGGACTGTGCCGGACTGTGCTGTGGTGGACTGTGCTGGACTGTGCTGGACTGTGGTGGACTGTGCTGGACTGTGGTGGACTGTGCTGTGCTGGACTGTGCTGGACTGTGCTGGACTGTGGTGGACTGTGCTGTGGTGGACTGTGCTGGACTGTGCTGGACTGTGGTGGACTGTGCTGGACTGTGCTGGACTGTGGTGGACTGTGCTGTGGTGGACTGTGCTGGACTGTGCTGGACTGTGGTGGACTGTGGTGGACTGTGGTGGGCTGTGCTGGACTGTGGTGGACTGTGCTGGACTGTGCTGGACTGTGGTGGACTGTGGTGGACAGTGGTGGACTGTGGTGGACTGTGGTGGACTGTGGTGGACTGTGCTGGACTGTGGTGGACTGTGCTGGACTGTGGTGGACTGTGCTGGACAGTGCTTGACTGTGCTTGACTGTGGTGGACTGTGCTGGACTGTGCCGGACTGTGCTGGACTGTGGTGGACTGTGCCAGACTGTGCTGGACTGTGGTGGACTGTGGTGGACTGTGCTGGACTGTGGTGGACTGTGCTGGACTGTGCTGGACTGTGGTGGACTGTGGTGGACTGTGCTGGACTGTGCCGGACTGTGCTGGACTGTGGTGGACTGTGCTGGACTGTGGTGGACTGTGGTGGACTGTGGTGGACTGTGCTGGACTGTGGTGGACTGTGCCGGACTGTGCCGGACTGTGGTGGACTGTGCTGGACTGTGGTGGACTGTGCTGGACTGTGCTGGACTGTGGTGGACTGTGCTGGACTTTGCCGGACTGTGCTGGACTGTGCTGGACTGTGCTGGACTGTGGTGGACTGTGCTGGACTGTGGTGGACTGTGGTGGACTGTGCCGGACTGTGCTGGACTGTGGTGGACTGTGCTGGACTGTGGTGGACTGTGCTGGACTGTGGTGGACTGTGCTGGACTGTGGTGGACTGTGGTGGACTGTGCTGGACTGTGGTGGACTGTGCTGGACAGTGCTGGACTGTGCTGGACTGTGGTGGACTGTGCTGGACTGTGGTGGACTGTGCTGGACTGTGCTGGACTGTGCCGGACTGTGCTGGACTGTGGTGGACTGTGCTGGACTGTGCTGGACTGTGGTGGACTGTGCTGGACTGTGGTGGACTGTGGTGGACTGTGCCGGACTGTGCTGGACTGTGGTGGACTGTGCTGGACTGTGGTGGACTGTGCTGGACTGTGCTGGACTGTGCTGGACTGTGGTGGACTGTGGTGGACTGTGGTGGACTGTGGTGGACTGTGCTGGACAGTGCTGGACTGTGCTGGACTGTGGTGGACTGTGGTGGACTGTGCTGGACTGTGGTGGACTGTGCCGGACTGTGCTGGACTGTGGTGGACTGTGCTGGACTGTGGTGGACTGTGCTGGACTGTGGTGGACTGTGCTGGACTGTGCTGGACTGTGGTGGACTGTGGTGGACTGTGCTGGACTGTGGTGGACTGTGCTGGACTGTGGTGGACTGTGGTGGACTGTGGTGGACTGTGCTGGACTGTGGTGGACTGTGGTGGACTGTGCTGGACTGTGCCGGACTGTGCTGGACTGTGCTCTGGACTGTGCCGGACTGTGCCGGACTGTGGTGGACTGTGCTGGACTGTGGTGGACTGTGGTGGACTGTGCTGGACTGTGGTGGACTGTGCCGGACTGTGCTGGACTGTGGTGGACTGTGGTGGACTGTGCTGGACTGTGGTGGACTGTGCTGGACTGTGCTGGACTGTGGTGGACTGTGCTGGACTGTGCTGGACTGTGGTGGACTGTGCTGGACTGTGCTGGACTGTGGTGGACTGTGCTGGACTGTGGTGGACTGTGGTGGACTGTGCCGGACTGTGCTGGACTGTGGTGGACTGTGCTGGACTGTGGTGGACTGTGCTGGACTGTGCTGGACTGTGGTGGA